TCCCATGCTTATCTCATTCCATTTCCATTCCGAGCATTGCTATTGGACAGTACCTTTCTCTGAGTAGAACTTCCCATGGACGCTATCTTCTTCCCACACGTTATCTCCCTTGACTCACCTTCTACCAATAGGCGCCCTTGTATTTCTCATTTCTCTGAGTTACGTTCTCACAGGATAGCTTACGCGTCCTTTCTTATTGTTCTCTTCTTTGGGTATTAACCCCTATACCAGTTACTATATATACTGTAGGAAAACCCATGTATTCCTTAGTTCAACCTCCTGTTGAATACAGCGATTACCTGGACTCTTGACTTGACCGTTGGCATTGGCCCGGCCAGACCTACCTTTCAGTACGCTTACTGAGGTAGTGACGACATAACTGTTGGCACGTGGCCCAGTTATCTCAAGACGACTAGTTAGGACATCGCTTCCTAACACATGTAAGCAATGTCCCGACCGGACCGACGCCACTTTCGTTTCGACTTGAAGACAACTGCCCACACACACCTGACATGAAAGGTCAAAGTGATGCAGTGCATAGCATTCGATAAAAGGATGCATTGACACAAGTGAGGCTGACAAATGAGACTAGTATCTCTGAGTGGGGACTGGGAGGAAGCCCCTTTAAATACTGATGTAGATATAAGACAGGACTATATCAATACTGTGTATGTGTCCGTACGCATCAAGACTGGCATTCCGCAACTTGACCAGACACTAGTACTGGAATATGGTTTCTGACTGGAGTCGGGGATTTGCGCTTGCGCCGCTACGATTACATCTCGTCCCAATTGCAGTAGGCTTCTGCCAAACAAGCATTCTGAGGTACATCCATTGTTGTTGAATCAGCTGCGGCAGGACCCGGGAATCTCCTATGTATGTATGTCCAAAAAAAGGCCTCAGAATGGCCTCAAAAGTGCTAACTTTTGGTCCTCAGAAGTGCTAAGTCGGACACACATGTCACAATGTCACACAATGTCACACTATCTGTGACAGTGCCACAGAAGGCTGATACAAGCCACAAGGAGCGATTTAGAAGCGCATATATGGGCAACAGCAGTGTTTACTGGTCATAGTATGATAGCAAACATAGTATTGAGTTATTTTGTAGTGATAAAGACAGAATACTATGGTGAAATATATCTTAGGCCCTTTTCATCTTTCCCCCCGGGACTCGGATAATCAGCCGTACTTTCGGCTTGTTGAATGTCCTCCATCGCTGTGCTGCTATGGCAGTGAGCACCATATTTTCAAAGGTACCCTTGAGTGCAGCAGACCCAAGGTTATATAGCATATGATCCGCAAAGGCATGGGTATGGAGTGATGCCCCTCCGGACATCTACAAGTCCTTACCTAGCCAATGAGCCCCGCGAGAGGCCGTCTGAAGTTACCCGAAAAGGGCATATTTGGCACGGACA